TGTGGTATATATATATAATATATATATTATTTTGCTTGATTATATATATATTTGCTTGATATATATATATATTTGCTTGATATATATATAATATATATATTATTTTGCTTGATATATATATATCAAGCAAAATAAGTCAGCCAGTGAAAGACGAATACCATATGATTTTACTCATATGTGCAAATTAAGAAACAAAACAAATTAGCACAGGGGGGGAAAAAGAGAGAGGCAAATAAAGAAACAGATTCTTAGGACACCTGGGTGGCTCAGTTGGTTTAACATATGACTCTTGATTTCAGCTCAGGTCGTGATCTAATGGTTTGTAGGATTGAGCTCTGTGTTGGGCTCATGCTGATAGTACAGAGTCTGCTTGGGATTCTCTTTCTCCCTCTCCCTCTGCCCCTCCCCCACTTGCTCACGTGCTTTCTCTCTCTCTCTCTCTCTCTCTCTCTCTCTCTCTCTCTCTCTCAAAATAAATAAATAAATAAACTTTTTAAAAAAGAAACATATTTTTAATTATAGAGAACAAACTGATAGTTACCACAGGGGACGTGGGTGGGGGAATGATTAAGTAGGCGATGGAGATTAAGGAATGCATTTGTTGTAATGAGCACTGGGTGTTGTATGGAAATGCTGAATCACTAAATTGTACACCTGATAATAATATTGCACTGTGTGTTAACTAACTGAAATTTAAATAACAATTTTAAGAAAAAAACACTACCAAAAAAGAAAACTACATGCTAGTTTCTCTGATGAACATAGATGCAAAAATCCTGAACAAAATATTAGCAAACCAAATCCAACAATACTTTTAAAATATATGCAATACGATCATGTGGGATTTACTCCTGGCATGCAATGATACAATGTTTGCAAATCAGTCAACTTGATACATCACATTAACAAGGGAAAGGATAAAAACAATATCACCTTTTTAATGGATTCAGAAAAGCATTTGACAAAGCACAACATGTACTCATGATAAAAACTGTCCAAAAAGTAGGCTTGGTGGGGGGCGCCTGGGTGGCTCACTGGGTTAAGAATCCAACTCTTGGTATCCGCTCAGGTATCCGCTCATGGTCCATGAGATCGAGCCCCTCATTGGGCTTGGTGCTGACAGTGTGGAGCCTGCTTGAGATTCTCTGACTCTCCCTCTCTCTCTCTCTGCCCCACCCCCGCTTGCTCTCTGTCTCAAAATAAATAAATAAATATTGTGTTTTTTTTTTTTTTAACTAGGTTTGGTGGAAACATACCTCAACATAATAAAGGCCATATATAAAAAAACCCACAGTAACATCATACTCAATGGTGAAAAACTCAGAAATTTTCCCCTAAGAGCAGAACAAGACAAGGATATCCACTCTCACCACTTTTATTCAATAGTACTGGAAGTCCTAGTCACAGCAAGTAGACAATAAAAAGAAATAAAAGACATCCAAATTAGTTAGGAAGAAATAAAACTTTCACTATTTGTAGATGGCATAATACTATATATATATATATATATATATATATATATAT